TATACTAATATTTTAAAATATTATTTTAAAAACTATAAACATATTTTCAAAAACCACACCATATCACTTGCCTGCTGACTCCTCAGATGCCTGTCCAAAGATACAGATTTTCAGCTGGTGGCAGAAGGGGAGAAGAAAAGGGACCAGTAGCATCCCTTGAGGCAGGGAGTTCCATAATCTGGGAGCAGCAACATAAAAAGCCCTCTCTCCAGTCCTCACCAGAGATGCTTGTGAAAGTGATGAGACCATGTGAACTCACTCCCCTTCTCTTCATTTCTGTGCTACCTTCCTTCTGCAGCTCAAAAAAACTTAAAAATGGGTACAACTAAAAAAACAATTTAAAATAGTACATTGTAACACTAAAAACTATTAAATATGTAACAATAAATAAATATCAAGTTAGTTACATGCCGTCAAGTCAGAAGCAACTACTAGTGACCCTAATAGAGTTTTCAAAGTGAGATATTTGAGAAGTGGATTCAACAATTCCACTTCCCTAGTGTGTTTTCATGGCCAAATGGGGATTCAGAAAAGAGCTTCCAGAGTCTGTCATTCTATCCAATATACCACATTGAGTCTTAACAACGTTAGAAGGCTGCTAATTTAAAAAGAGTTTTTTAAAAGTGTGTATACAGATGAAAAGCAGTACAGGTGTGCAGCCTCCCACAACTAAACTCAGTTATCCGATTCAGTTGTTTAAAATATTCCAGAAAAGAAAGATCTTTGCTTGCTGCCTTGAAGGACAGCATGGATGGGGTCAGTCTGGCATCCTCAGATAGGCCACTCCACAACCTAGGACCAAAAAATGAAGAAAAACTACATCTCTAGTCCTTTCCAGAGATTCCTGTCAAGAAAGGCTCCTTTCCAAAGGTCTTTAAGGCCTTGAATCTCAAAGATTAAGTGGTAATACAGGAAATATGAGGTAACAGATTCAGTGATGGGTTGCTTAACATTTGAAGTGGGAGAGAAAAAACTTCTGACTCTGTTCATGCCGCAAGAGAGAGATATCAACCTATTAATGTACTTGCTATTCCCTTTTCGAATCTGTTTTCAAAACCCTTTTCTTCAAGCATGACTACCTTGAAGTCAGAGACAGAGCGTCATGGGAGTTAGAAGTGTTCTCCAACTGGTTTCTTAGTATTACTTTTTCTAATGTCAGATTTGTGTTTGTGTCTTCTTTTGTACATAGATTGACTCATTTGTCTTCAGTAAAATATTGTGGGGCATTGCTTGGGGAAGAAAGAAGAAGCCTGTATCCCATGGGAGGATACAATGACCAGATAGGCGGGGTATAAACAAACAAACAAACAAACAAACAAATAAACAAATAAATAAATAAATAAATAAATAATACAATCCCCTGATGCTGTGGATTGCATTATTATTTACAGAGTTATTTTCATTCCTGTGGGTGGGAATTGCAAGCTGAGAAGTGCCTTATTTAAAACACTACTAGGGAGGAAATTCTGATGCTGAAACATCATTAGGTTGTTCTTCCTAACGTTTCGCCAGTCTCTGTGGCTGGCATCTTCAGAGGACAGGAGTAGCACTCTGTGCTCTGGTGCAGTTTGTTTGGTAGTTGAGTATTTATAACTGTGGGATCAGCTTTTGTCCTTTTCAGGAGATGGGTGATTATGGTGATCAGTGT